GCATGCAACATATTTATCAACTACATGAGACCTTCTTGTGTTGTCAGTGGTTAATGCACAAGAAAAAGGCACATGCGTCTCCTTCTAATTAAAAGGTGAAGGTAATAATAGATTCCCAAATTTACACTAATATTAATTTAGTTAGGTTAAGCAAAAAGGCATGTATTGTAATAACATATCTTATATTATTTTAAGCTGAAATTTAAAAGTTAGTACTCTGGATATGCAAGTAAAACTTCTGTATTTTCTGTTGAAGAAAATAAAATAAAGTAAACAAAGAATACTCCCTAGCTTAGAAAAAAAAAATATGAAAATTAGGTCCAAAAGAAGAAAATAAATGGGATCATAATTAATGTCCTACATAAATTGACACTACTAAGTATAATTTTATATGGTGCAATTACATCCCTATAAACAATATGCATCCACCCCTAAGAGTATGTAATAATCTAACTTTTAACTATTAGCATCATATTTAATTTAAAAAAAAAAAGTACGCGCGGATTAACCCCTAGTGTTAATTAAAACCTACAATTTAAACGAACCGAGAGAGCTTGTTTTGTTTGTAATTAACCAAACAATCGTACTTTGAGCTAAGATATACGTTTGACTTCATCGTCAAACATGTAGTAGAATGAATTCGACATACACTTAAATCTATGGCATCGTTCTTAGTGTATCTGATTGACATGCCAACAATATATCTCGAATCCATCGTCATTTGTTTAATATCAACTATTTTCTTGTATAATCTAATAAGTAACATTTTAATATGGTATAATACTCGGGATTACGTTGTTAGTCGCCGACTTTGTGTTATGGTTTGTATTATGGCTCTTCGGATCTTTAATAAAATTTCTACCAGATGAAAAAAAAAAAATATATGGTATAATACTCGAAGTAGCCGTACAAGATAACACTAGTCATACACGTATGTGTTGGGAAATCCCATGTAGCATCTCATAACAAAATAAATGTAATGTAGATGTATTTGTATATTTGGGGTTATATAACATTGCTTCCAAGTGTAGAGTTTGGATCAGATTCTTTCTACTGTCTTAAACCCACGAAGAGAATATGCTCTTTTATTCTTTCTTTTTTTTCTTTTCCTTTCGACTGTATTTAGCCAGTCACGTTAATGATTCGATTGCCACATCGGGAAATTTTTGTTGTCGTTTGAACAACTATCAATTAACGTCCTTTATTATATATAAAAAAAAACTATCAATTAACGAACGGGAAAATAAAATAAATAAAAAACGATTTCTAGGAAAACAAAACAATGAAAGCAGTAGAACGAAAACGAAAACGAAAGCGAACCATCTATTTTGTACCACTATTTGTCTATTTCATATCACTTCAACACCATTCCACTATTTTTCACTGATTAGTATTATCTATTAGGATTTATAATATTATTACTTACAATTAAAAAAAACTGTAATCGCTTTATACCACCAATCATATCCTATATATATAAACTTATGGATTACACACATGGTGCCTATAGAAACAATAATTTAACATACATTTTTTTTTATAAATGAATGAAATAATAAAAAAAGATTTAGCAACAAAAAAAAAAAAGTAGTTTGATTTATGCCCAAACGAGATCATTTTGTTATCTAATAGTAAGTATGACTTTGTTCTACTATCGGTTTTGATACTTGCGATTGAAGAATTTGAGATATTTGTTGGTTTCTTGAAGTTAGGGGTTTTGGATTTTACAGCCGTCCCACTTCTTTAAGTGTAGTGCAAAATAAGCTCTCCAATCTCAAATGTATGACTCTTTTGGGTGTGTAGTTGTGTACGTTCATCAACGGCCACGAGTAAACGACAGCATTTAGAAAATGGGCTGACTGACTGGGTTTTTGGGCCTGTTATGACGATGTATGGGTTTTTCTGATTGAGGATTTCTAGAAACTAGAAAGTATCTTTTGGGAGCTTGTTTATGATTTTTAATAGACGATAAAACTTTCAATTTTGACCCCAAAAAAAATAATAATACTGAAAAGAAGTTGTCACGTTTGTGCAAACAAAATAAGAGTTGTCACGTCTGAAAAGATAAAACTTTTTTTTTACTTAGATGATATATGTATACAAAGATAACTACCAATTGACCATACAATGATCAGAACCCTTTCAAATTAGTCTTCTGCAAAATTTTATTAAACGTATACTGATTGCTATTAAAAGAAAAGTGTAATAAATATTTTTGAATCAAAATCATATCTAAAAGCTCTAACTGCACTTGCTAAAAGACGATTATTACATAAAAGAAAGTAAGAATAATAAATTATTTTGGGTGAATTTGTAATATTCTAAAAAAGTAGCTACTTGTTTTGCTTTGTAAGTTTGTATACACACCAATTTCCCACCAATTGGCTACTTGTCTGTTAAATAAAAAATCTTCCTTTTCAGTTATTTTGTTTGGATGCTCTCAAAAAGTCATAATCTCTTCATTTTCTTACTTGAGATTTGACCTAAGGCACTGTTTTCTGTCATCTGTTAAAGTGTAAAGTCTCGTGAGATTTGTCGGTTAGTTAAATGAGTTTCTCTTTTTTGTAAGGTAATTTGGTAGCAAAAATAGTAAAAATGTCATGGAGTTTATTGGAAGTTAGCAAACCACACATCCTAACAATAACCCGTAATTAACGGTCTTATGTTATCATATAATTTTGTTGACAAAGAAATAAAAGAAAATGTAATGAGATTATTTGTGCAATATTCATACTTTCACCCAAATCGGTTTTTGTTTATGCAATTGCAAACAGTTGACTTTATGAGATTTCACCAAAACTATGAGTATGTAGTAAATAGTAATACTTCAGAGCATGCTCAGCTAATTATTACATTTAATATTTACATATTGAATTTTTTTAATATTAAAATATGGAAGTTGAATAAATGCATATATTAATAACTATTGTTTTGGTCTTACGAGAGATCTCTGCAATCAAGAACCGGTTCAATTTCAATCTAGTTATTTCCAAGTTATTTACATTTTTTTTTTTTTTTTTGCTAAATGGTAAATATTTCATTGATAATGAAAACAGTTTAGGTTACAAACATAGAATTTGAAACCTATACATATGGATCCATGACAAAAAAGAATAAAAACATGGAAGCATAAAGACGGTTAATTAAAACCAAGTTTTCGGTCCATCTTCTCAACCTTGCGATGAAGCAATGGGAAAAGATGAAACGATGACGTTCAATTCTATCCTTCCCGCATGAGATGCAAAAGCAGAAGGGCTAATACTGATTGTGAAACACCAAATTGCGATGGACCAAGAGCTCTAGAAGCCTTTCGCTTGAGGCCCGAGATTGAGCCGTCAACGGTTTGAAACTCCAAAGCAACGATCACATACTCTCCCTGCGACATGTGAGATCAATTCTTCGTTCCAATCCATGAGCTTTCTCAAAGCAGAACCTCACACACCAAACTAACCAATGATGCAAGCTCCCTCTAACCAAGTTCATAACCCGAAGTCAGCAGCGCAGAGCAAGATAAAAACCATTCACCACCACACCATAAGCCATTAGCCCTACTAGCTTCTCTAAAGCTCAATCCAAACACAAAGAAAAGGCGAGCATGCACAGCAAAGCAATCTTCACAACAAAGGCAATAACAATAGGAAGCCACATGAAAGAACAGGCCCTGAACTTAACCAAAGAGATGATATACAAGCGGACTCAGAAGAAGTGGGGAACTAGCTACCACCGATAGCTAAAGCCACAACAAAAAGAACACCGTTGCAGCTACACAAAGGAGGCAAAGAGCATCCGAATCAACGAAAAAGCTTAACCAGCCACAAGAAACCATGCTCCTAATAGTTCTGCTACTGTCCTTAAGCAGAAGAGGCCAACAGAGACACAGTTCTCCTAAATTAAACTCGACGAAGACTAACTAGACGAAAAAAGACCAACCACAAGTAGCCATTCTCTGAGAACCTATGCGAAGGAGAAACAGAAAAGAGAGACGGAGGAATCAGAAGCTACAACGGGTCGAAGGAGACCACCAACCAAGGCTGGAAAACCAGCCACAGAGCTAAAGAAAGCCCTCGATTCAAACTCCGACACACGAAATCGACACGCACGGAGAGGACAGAGGCTTCAAACGTGGTGGAGTAAGCCGTCCTCAAAGCGAACAACCGACACAGTGAGACCCATAACTCCGGCAGACACGAGCCGAAACGCGACGGTTAAACCAAGAGATATCTTGGAAAAAATGAAACCGAGAAAGAGAGAAGCAACCACGGCAAAGCCAAGGGACACAAAACTCACAACCAGAATCACCGGGAAGAAGGCAATATGGGAAGATTTACAAACCGAAGCTTGCTCCGCCGCTTGAGATGCGAGACGCAAGACTAGAAAAAGAGCCACCACCTTGATCCACCACCGTCTACAGGAAGAGGAGATAGATAGCACTAAGAAATAGTCACCGGAGACCGGCCGTCACGCACGGCAGATCCTTCGACACTCGTCACGAGAACAGAGACGAACCATCCCTCTAGGAGAATTCAAGTGCACGAGAGTAACAAGGAACCAGGCGAAGGCAACAAAAGCCCTCTCGCGGTGCCGATCGAAACCGGACAACCGGAGAGGCGAGAACGTGACGGATTAGGGTTGTCTGCAAGCTCAACGATTTTGAGAGAAAAAATTAGGGGCGCGTTGGGTGCACGCGTTTAGTTGTCTACGTCAGAGAGTTCTTACTGGTTGATTTGAGATTTCCACCAACATGATACAACGTATTTTACGTGTAATGTTAAAAAAGAATAGATTATTTTATTTCGAATGCTTCTAGGAAAGTCTGCATAAATCGCAATCAAATCACAAATTATTATGTTCTTTCTTTTGGAAATATATAAATTTATCATTAGAAATTTGATTATTATAATGTTCTTTCTTGTTGTTTTTCTCTCATCCCCTTTTTTGCATCATAATCATGACATTTTTTCTTGCCCAAAAAAAAGAAGGAAGAACATCATCATCACATAAACAGAGGAATCTCATTATTTCAGGAGGATCAGAAAAAAAAAACAAACAAAAGAGTTCAAGATAAGAATCATATGTACGGAATAGTGTCACAAAGAAACACAGTTAATTAGTGTAAGAAAAATCTTAGCACTCTTGTCGGACATTAGTAGCTACGGCTCGAGCCCAAAACTTGATCTGATCCTTCATTTCTTTACTTGAATCCTTTGGAACCCTAGGTGGTGTAGCTAGTCCGCTTGTGACACGTGGCTCGACCAGTTGGTCATAACCTTTCAGCCTTTGAATCTCTTTGGTTGTTTCTACGCTGCTTAACGTTTTACGCAGCGTTTTGGGACTTGAGCCACCTTGTTTGACCATAACAGTGTCTTCTAATCTCAAGCTTCTTGGTGGTCTCTGCCTTTGATTGTTTGAAACCTTCACCAAGATTCAGACTTCAGTATGTTTTTCAATTAGCAAAAACCATTTTCTTTTACATAAAGAATGAATCATTTATTACCTTTGGAACATTATGTGAGCTAGCGAGGGCTTCACGGATCAAAAATCCCATTCTTGAGTCGCTTTCTTGATCTTCAAACTCGTCTATCTCGTTATCTTCTTCTCTTCTGATGCTATTTGGCATCGTTTGCGTTCTTTGCAAACTAATCTTGACACTACTATAACTACTATTACTTCCTGTTTTGTTCCTTCTACAACTTTCACTAATCCCTTTGTCTCGAACAATAGTTTCCTTCTTCTGCAAGAAATGCTCACCAGGCCTCATTGGTTCTAGAACCCTAATCTTCTCAGAGAACTGCCTTGTCTGCTTATTGATCATCCTCTTCGCCTCACGGTCCATCTCTCTTTTTTCTATGTGAGGCGGCAAAGAAGGTGTCCGGATCAAATCCCTTTTCTTGGAAGCTTCTTGAATCTTCCCCGGAGCCGAACAAGATCCAGATTTAGGAAGAACTACATGTTCCTTCTTCTGCAAGGAAGACCCAACTTGTCTCGGTTCTTGAACCCTAATCTTTTCAGAGAACTGCCTCGTCAGCTTCTTCTGAGATCCGCCTTCTCTACTATCTATAGAAGATGCCCTGATCAAAGATCGTCCTGTGGAAGCTTCTAGAACCTTCTCCGAATCTGAATCTCCCATTTTTTCAGCAGAAGTTGAAGTAGAAGAAGAAGGGTAAGGATCTGAGTGACAATACCTTAAGCCACTTGACCTTCTTGTAAATAAGTTCTCAAAGAACCAGTAATCTTCAAGAAGATCATCAAGAAGTAAATCACTTGAACTTACATGATCCATTTCCTTTTCAGACAAGGGATTACAAAAGAAAGTTAAAAAGTAGAAGACAAGAGACTCTAAAAAGAGAGAAGTTGTGTGTTTATAACAAAGGTTGGGTCTTCTGATTTTCCTTTGTGAGTGTGTTTGTTTGTTGAAGTTTGTTCATATCTGTGTTGTTTAGTAAACATCCAATGTATTTGAAGCATCGATTCTGGAGATTTATTTGGAAGTGCCCACATGGGCAGCTTTTCTTCAATTATTTCTATTATAGTTTTTTTTATTATATCTATGTGGAGTGAATATATTGGATTTTGCATAGAATATTTAAGGATTTTCCTGGTAAATAATGCTGAAATTGGAACTTATTGCTAAATAAAAAATAGTTACAATTCTAGAGCAATGGAGTCAACTAAAATAAATAGAGTATAGAGGTATATGGAAACAATGAAACTTATGTAAAAGTAGAGGTATCTAAGTGGGTAATAAAATACATAATTTCGGCAACAACTATAAGAAAGAAAAAAAAGATTCAACAAAGCTATGATTGCTTAAGGGAAAGCATAATAATTAATCAATGTCAGGACAGTCCACAAGCCATGTGATTTCTCTGTTTATATACATTAGTATAATTGTAGTACGTAGTCTAGTAATAAAAAGTTTTTAAAACATTTATATTGGAGAATAAATACAAAAGATTTTAATTAATTAAAGTATCCTAAATCCTAAATCCTAATCAGTAGAGAGATTTGATCCTTAAAAAATCAGTATAGAGAAGAAAAAAAACCCAATAATCACGAGTTCTGGATCTCCGTCAAAAAGCCGCAATGTTTATCTATGCTTGACAAGTGGTTCAATTACTGATAATATTCTAATATGAATTGAATAAATCTATATATAATATGGATTGATTGTTGATTGTTTTATTTTTGTATGTAATCACGTGGATATTATTAAAAAGTGATGAATTCAAGATACTCAAATATTTGGTCAATTTTCACTTTTTCCGTAGTTATACGCCAAATCTTTCGGGTGATGCAAAATCAAGCATTAATTTGATATCTATCATCCTTCTTTCTTCAAAGATAGTGAAAATGAAGAATGTTTCACAATAATCCTACTTGTACTTATTAATAACACGACATATAGTTTTTTTTTTTTTTTTGACAACAAAGTATAATCATCAATTTAAGTTAGAAATGGACGATTTTTTACAAGAGAAAACCACTTCGGTGTTAAAAAGCTTACATGAAAAAATAGAATTTCGTATTTTCGCTTTTTTGGCGAGACAATCAACACGGACATTGTTTAAACGTAGAATAAAAGCTAAAAAAGATCGAAAAAATTAAGTTTTAAAACATTAAAATCTTCTAACTCCAAAGCAAAAGCGGACCACTCATCAGGAGTGTCCAAAAGCTAGGTCAACTTAATTCTTGCAATATGTCTCAAAAGCAACGTTATTGATGGATAATGACGTGAAGGATAGCATTACCCAGAGAAGAACTTCAAACTCGGTGTGAAAGGGGGATAAGCATTGGCGAAGACACTTTAGTTCAAGATTAGAGGAATGACGATCAGAGCCAACAATCTATCCAATACCACATAAGGGGGTTGGCTGCATATAAGAGACGATTAGAGTTTATATTTTGTAATTAAACAAAGGTATATGTCTGTTTAGAATTTATCAAAGAGGAGTAGAGTTTGGATTTTACAATTAAACAAGATTTTATTTGTCGGTTATGGTTTATAAAATAATGGTTAAGGTTTAGATTTTATAGCTAAATATAATTAAATGATTGTTTCGGTATTATAAAAGAGTGATTAAGAATTTGATTTTACGACTAAATACGTTTAATGTTATTTTTAAAATTATATGACTGATTCTAATTGGTTAGATTTAATGGGAGTGAAAAAAAAAATCCAAAAATTGTTCTAATCTTAAGCGGCAAACAATGATATACATAAACATTGTATAATATCACATTGACATTAAGATATTTCCGAATATATTATATCAGTTGGGAGTTTCTCCTCCCACTAGGTAAGGCTTTAGAGTTTAGATAAACATGATTTGCTCTCCCATTGTTTACACATAGAGCGAGATCTCTTCGATTTCATATACGTACAAATATGTGTTGTTTTCGGTCTAATAATGGACACGTAGTTAATACTCAGTAAGTAGAAATGGTATGCAAGTCTCGGCCCAATCTCTTTAGTTTTCCATCATTACGTGATACTACAAGTCGCATAAACATTATTTATTACAACTAACTAGTAAAAGACTAACACCCACTACCACTAGACTATTATTTCAATTAATTTTTACTCAACCACTCGGTTTTTAAAACTTACATCGGAGATGAAGAGTTTACAAAAAAGAAATAAAGTTATTTTTCTACTTCTAACAGTAGCTAAACAAAATTTACCAGAAAAAAAAAAAAAGTTTTGCTAAACAATATTTCAAACACTTAAATGACGTGGAATGAAATAACAAAAATAGAAAAAGACCTATCACCTTCTTTTTTTGTGATAAAGGGCTTTCAAAATATATATTCACGAAAGATGGTAAACTAATAGAAAACGCATGTCACTTTGATAGCTCTTGGATTTAATAAGATAAACTCTAAACAATCCGTATGAAAATTTAGATGTCCAATATATGGTGAGACAAACTATAAGACATAGTTCATGCTAGCTCTTCCAACTCCTTTATGCAATATCATCTGGATAAAACCCTTCGTAACATTCCATGAAATTAAACCAGAAGTTCATATTTTTTAGCCATTGACCAGCATTGGATTAACAAACGTGGGACAAAATCTGTTAACAATGCAGAACAGAGGAAGAATGATTATCATGCTGTTTACGGTAAACCGTTTACCAATGTCTTTATATATCCTCTTCAAACGTGGCCATTATTTTCGATCCTATCAACACCAAATAAATTTCTTTCAAATTTGAATGTTTTTTGGGAAACAAGTAAACAACCATATTAAAATAAGCTTGTGTGTGATCATGCAGTTCCATATGTTATGTTGAACATTTAGAAGGCTAAAAACAAGAAAGTGTTTCAGGACATTTTGATTAGTTAAAAAACTATTTTTCTACAGTTTGAAGATCAATTACTTATTTCCTTAATCATAATGTGGCACTGGCATATCGAATAAAGCACTAAGCGTAAAAATATTCGTAATCGATCGAAACTGATCAAAAGGTTGGGTTTTGTTTTTGTGAAGGAAAATTGAATGGGCTTTTGATTTGATGTAAAAGCCTGCGGATACTTCCAAATGTGATATTTCCTTCGAGATCCTGTCCGTCCATTTCTTGATGCGATTGTCTCCTTTGATTTGATGCATCTATATGCTCTTCTCTCTTTTTCTTTTCTTCTTTATAGGTGACGCAAGGCACCTGAGAATCTCTTGTGATGCATGCTCAGACAACAATTTCCAATTTAATAGATACACTAGAAGGCATTTTTCTTTCTTAGACCCCTAAATTCTTTTTATTAATTTGTTATCATTTTTGTTGTATTCATTACCTCAAGAATTGTCAGAACTCTTTATCAGTATAGCCAACCATCGAAACATCATATCTGTACGCAGCTTCTAGTAAGAATTGCACGAGAAAATATAAATCATTGTGAGAATAAAGAAAGGAGATGATATATATATACGTACTTCCTCCGATCCTTAATCTCTCTCAGACACAAATCTTTCGAAGAGTTGTACATTTTCTAAAAGTAGATTCCATATCTTTGGGGTTTCTTGGAAACATTTTGTTTTAAATGCCACATGGAACTAGAATCCATCCTACGTACAGATGAAGAACTCATCAATCACTATCACTTCAACAAAGTCATTGATCCCACTTTCTCATGTATGTGTAGCCATTTCACAAGTTAATCACACCAAGTCTGAGCCTTGGGACCTCCCTGGTGATTCCCAAACAAACCCTAGTTCTTGATATTCTTCTGTTCGTTTATGTCTTCAACCATTTTGTGTATTGTAATAATTGTAAAAGCACTTCACATTTTTTTTTTTTGGTAATACATTGAGCTACACAGAGAGTGCGTAATTTGGTGATGATGAAAAGAAATGGTTTTTCTTTACATTAAGAGTACCCAGCAGGACTGACTAAGGATAAATATGCTAGTTATTAGAAAGCTAACACAGAGAACAAAAGCTCAAAGACACGTTCTCTATCAAATCTAGCTCGAGGAAGTGAAAAAGAAATTAAAGGATAAAATTGAGTAATCTTTTCACTGATTCAACAGTAATATGTACGAGGAGCCATATATACACTCGCATATTTACCAAGTAAACAACTAACTAACCAAGTCGCCTTGATCCAGTAGCAAATGATAAAAAATTCTCTGCTACTTAGGTTCGAGTAGCATTGGTCACCGCAGTTCGAATTCTATCATGATTTTGTATGGTTCCATGATTAATCTTTAGATCTAAAAAACTTTTATTATCACATTAGTTATCAAAAAACAAATAAACATCTAACTTATTAACAATATGTTAACAAAAGAGTGGTAACTAGCTAGAACTAGTCAAATATTCGCTTTTAGAGATGAAGAATACTCTTGTCTTTTATAAAGACAAATCCTCTAATTTTGGTTGCTGAGGTGCCAAGTCAACAATTTTTCTCAGCAATTTTTTTTTTTTAATTCTCTTACCTATTTGCCAAAAACTAACTTCCTTATTTCCATTCCCTTTAAACATCTAACCAAACACACTTACATATCTCCTAAATCTATAGTTACCAAATATTGATAGTTTTAAAATATTCTATTATTTTCTAATTTAGCTATTTCAAAATTTGACAAATTATGGTCAAAGATTTCGAATTTTGGTGTTGATGTATTTACTAGATATTTCGAATTTCTATTATCTAAAAAACATTGTTAAAATTAGAAATAAATTAAAATCATTAAAATATATGACCAAATGTTTTCTCAAACTTTTTATTTGGCATTTACAAATTAATTAAAATAAAATATTTTAAAATATATTTTTATCTTATTAAATGATTTATCTAAATAAATAAACTACTATACAATTTAATACATTTAA